AGCAGGGTCAGCAGATAGGCGGCCCCAAATAGGACAAACAGTCCAGCCTGGGTCTGCCTGTCACTGGAGAGCCCCAGGAGGACAAACTCACAGGTCAGGTTGTCCCTCCTCATGAAGCAGGTGGGGTAGGTGGCCAGCAAGAGAAGGTAGCTCAGAGAGGCCAGAATCAATCAGAATTCAGTCTGCGCCTGAACAAAGGACTTTAAGCAGAACTGCAAGAACTTGAATGTTTTCTCTCTTAGACTCTGAGCCTCTTGAAACCAGGGATCTTTTGTGATTTTCTCTTTTCTTTTCTTTTTTTCTTTCTTTCTCTCTCTCTCTCTTTTTTTTTTTTTTTTTTTTTTTTGAGAGAGGCACAGAGAGAGTGCATGCAGGGTGGAGGTGGGGCAGAGGGAGAAGGAGAGAGAACCTTAAGCAGGCTCCATACCCAGCATGGAGTCCCACCCACGGCTTAATCTCAGGACTCTGAGATCATAACCTGAGTCAAAATCAAGATTTGGAGGCTTAACTGAGCCACCCAGATGCCCTTCTGATTTTTCTTTGTATGCAAAGATTCCTAACAAATGTTTCACAATAAAATTTTTGTTGAGTACACAAATTAAAAAAAAAAAAGTTAAAAGCAGTGGCCTTGAGGATTATTCTCTGATCCTAAGATATAGGACTTATGTTCTGGACTTCCTCCTTGTCCTTACTGCTCACACTGGAGCTCATGGTTCTTCCTGTTCCTCCCATAAGCCAGGCTAGGTCAGTGACAGAGAAAATCGCTCAACTTTGTTCTCAGTGTACTGATTAATAAGGCTTATTCCTGGGTTGATAAGATCAGGGCCTTAATTACATTAACTGTAATTATGTCCCAACTTCTTGTGATTATGCTATTTCCTTGGTGAAATGCTGGCATTTATTTGAATGGTAAAGTAAGTGATTTATAAAAGGTGAATGCATACATCACTTATTTGCAGTGATAGCATTTGGAACCTGAAGGTGCCCACAGATGGAGTCAGTAAGGGAGTGCCTCTGAAACCCTTTGAGCTTTGTTATGTGTAAATCCTTCTGTCATAGCAGAGGCGGGTTTGCCCTTGGTACACCTCCCTGTTTACTTTGCTGGTCTTTAGCCTCTACCAAAGGATAAGATGTCATATTTTCTCTCAGTACAAATGTACTAAGCAATTTTATAATCTTTGTTTATCTATATATTAATAGCAAGTCCCCCTAGCTCCATTGCCATATTTACATTGTGTGTCTTTGCAACATGGTGGGAGGAGATAGCATTATTGGCTAGTTTAGGAATAAGGAGAGACCGCAGAGACATGGAGAAGAGTCTGACTGCTGGAAAAGCCCATTTGGATGCTCACTAGGGAAGCTTGAGATGGAAGGAAAAAACTATACATATTAGGATTTGCCTATGAAAATCCCACACAACCCATGGTGGACACCAAGGCAGTGCCTGTCACAGTAGCTACACAGTAGGACCACCTGGCACGCTTTGAAGACTCCAGAAGCCTGGAAAAAACTCCAGAGCAATTAAGTCACAGTCTCAGGTGAGTGACACACAGATATTAGTATATTTGTAACTTTTAACATTTCCCAAACAATTAAAATGTGAAGCTAAGTTTGAGACCCACTGCTTTAGACAGAACCTTTTAATCTTATTTTTGAAGATTCAAGACATATTCTTTTTGGGAGAGGAATATGTTTTGAGATAAACCTGGAAAGCTTTTGTGGAGGAACGATCTTTTGGGCTAAACTTCTCATTCTTTGTTAGAAAAAGTTGAGGCCAAGAGAGTTTCAATGATTTGCCTGAAATTCCACTGAATCAGTGAAAAAGTGATCCTTGATATGTTGCCTTTTTGTGTGTGTGTTGGGTCTTCCCTTAGTCTTACTTTCTTAGGTCTTGCCCAAAAACAATGTTTCAGAGTATCTTAGACCCTGGGAAGAAGTAGTAAATATCAAGTGAGATTGTGTGTGAGAAAGCCCTCATAAATTTCAGAGCATTATCTAAATGAGAAGGATCTGTATGAAAGATAATGAGAGATGAGTCACAGAATCCAATGATATGGAAATGAAAACAATTCAACCCAAGTTTTTCTAACCAGGCTCTCTTTCTGACTCAAAGATTAGGCTCATGGCTGGTTGGGGGTGAAGAGCACGGAATCCCTAGACACACCTCTGTCTAGCTACTTGGAACCCATGCTTTCCCTCCTTTCAGTCCTTCTGTGTCCAGAAGGTGTCACTGTAGAAAATGCTAAGAATAGACTGGCTTTGGCAGGGTACCCCACTGATTTTCTGAGCCCTGCACCTGGGATGGAGCCCCATTCCCCCTGAACCTATTTCCTTCAACACTGCAGTAAGTAGCCAAACTTTACTTCCCAAATGTGGCTCCTGAGTGTCCAGAACACCATTAACTGAAATTCTCACCAGGGAAGAGAATGAAATGCAAAATGAGTACAGAAGGGAAAACAAGCTGGAAGGAACTTTTGGGATCTTCATGTCCACCTTGTCATTTTACAGAATGAGGAAACTGAGGTTCAGGGAGCAGGAGTGATTCTTTGAGGTGGTTTTGCCAGCTAGGCTCAGAGCTGGAACTGGGTCTGGAATCAGAGGACCCTATTCCATGTTCTTCCTGCTACATCATGTGTGTGATCACTTCCTGCTACATCATGTGTGTGTGTATCACAGCAGGTGGTGGGGAGCAGCACACCCACAAAATGATTTGTGTGACAGGTTTGATTTTTGTGGGGGGGAGGGTGATGTCGGGAAAGGGGTAGTGCTTAAGATGCTGCTCTGGGGGGACTTGGAGCTGCTGCAAAGTGATGCAAGGAAACTGGCTGAAGAGTGGTTTGGAGAGGCCGGCCGCCTGGGGGCCCCATTCATTAGATACCTGACCTCCTTCCATTTTATCGTAGGCTAGGGTATCACACTGCTCGGTGCTAGATGTTCCATTGGTATGTGATGAAGATAAAAGAGAATACATTAAACTGTAAGAGCTTGTGATTTGTTCTTCCTTACTAACTAAAGAGAAAAACTGAGGTTTCCTTGCTGTGCAAAATGCAGACCCTGGGCAAAGAGCAGACAAACACGTAAACACGGAGGCACTAGAGAAAGGAAAAGATAATTTGTTGACTTGGGAAGAGAACTTAATAGTTCCAGAAGAATCTAAAAGTGATGATGAGTTAAAACATTTTGACTGGAGATGGGGCTGAGTGCCTTCAATGGGAGCGGGAGCAGGGAGGAAGGGAGGCTGATGAAGGGATGAAGGGCATTGAATCCATTTCTGTTAAGTATCGAAAACAGGCAAATCCATAAAGGCAGAAAGCGGATCAGGGTTGCCAGTGTCTGGGTGAAGGGAGGAATGGAGAAGTTCTGCTTAAAGGGTACGAGGTGCCCTTTTGGAGTGATGAAAATGTTTTGGAACTAGAGAGACATAAGGTTGAACAACATGGTGAATATACTAAATGCCACCAAGTTGTACACTTTAAAATGGTAAGAATCATGACTCATATGTTACGTGAATTTTATCTTGATGAAAAAAAAAAAAGGTTTTACTAGAATTTAAAAAGGTGCTCCAGGGGCACGTGGGTGGCTTAGTGGGTTAAGCGTCTGACCCTTGATCTCAGCTCAGGTCTTGAGTTTAAGCCCCGTGTTGGGCTCCACATTGGGCTCCATGTTGTGCATGGAGCCTACTTAAAAAAGTAAAAATAATAAAAAAATAAAAAGATACTCCATTTCTTCCTCCACAAACTTTTGGACTTTTCTCAGCAGATTGATTAGAAGTTTGAATTACTCTCAATTTATGTTTTTTTTAAAAAAATTTTAAAATATTTTATTTATTTCTTAGAGAGCAGAGTGAGAGAGAACATTAGTGGGGTGAGGGGAGAGAGGGAGAAGGAGACTCCCTGCTGGGTAGGTCGCCAGATGCTGTTGTGGGGCTGTCATTCTAGGACCTTGGGATCATGACCTGATACGAAGGCAGTCGCTTATTGGACTGAGCCACCCCAGACGCCCCTCAATTTATGTTTTTTTATTTATTTATGGGAAGACAAACCAGATATCTGTAATATTTAGGTAAGAGATACTTTAATTTTTAAATGTTCTAAATATTTTTCTGGACAAAATTATCTCTATTTCACTTTCCGGATTAGAATGTTTAGTGCTCAGTCACTCATTGTGTGTTACCAGAGTAGAGCAAACTTGGAAACAGATTCCTTGCTGGGTAGCTCACTTGGCTCACCTCTGATGGTGTGTGGCATGATAGTCAACTGTGAATTCTGAACACATCTCTTTTTTCAGAAGGGTACATCCTTAGACCTGAGTGTGTAGAAAGTATGTGTTTGAGGTTCTGAAGGCTTGACTTTTTGGCCAGCCATTTGCCACCACTGCAAGCCCGAGAGCGTGGAGGCATGCAGACTGATGTGCAGATGACTCATGCACAGTCCAGTCCTGTTCATCAGGGCTGTGCGGATTATTACTGTCCTTGGCTCCATGTCCCTGTGTGAATTCCCCACCCTGCTGAGCTGGGCTGGACCATGTGTGAGTCACATGGGTGACCTTTGCACCTCTGGCTCAATGCCTGTTCCATCCCTTGGGCACAGTGAATTTTGTAAATTACAGCTCCTGCCTTCCCTCTCTCTTCTCATTGATTACAGGAAAGCTTAAACATATAGTTGTAGATTTTTGAAGGAAATATACTTTCCTGGCATAAGTTTTGTGCATTGACCTGACTTCTGATTTGATCTTCTTTTCTAATTCATATATGCTGGGGTATCTTTTTTTTTTTTTTTTTTTTAGTTTCTGTAGTGTGTATGTATTTGTAAATTGTAATTCACATTTTCTGAGTAAGTCAGGGACCAAAAATAGAGCCCAGGGATATAATCCATTTCCCTGTTACCTCAAACGATAGTGAGTGGAACAGACTGTGGTCCTCCTACCTGCTCCCTTACACCATGCCCATGCACAGACACATGCATACATTATGCTGAGGACACACACTCCAAGATCTATGGTCTTCAGAGTGAGGCCTCTTAAGACAAAGTTGCATACTAAAGTTTTGATTCAGAACTGCTCAGCAGAACTCGACTCAGGGCGGCCTTCATCTCTTTGTTCCGTAAACTGTAGATGAGTGGATTCAGCATGGGGGTCACCACACCATAGAAGAGCACCACCACCTTGTCCTGCTCAGCCAAGGCTGTGGAGTAGGGCTGCATGTAGGTAACCAGGGCCATCCCGTAAGACATGGAAACCACAGTGAGGTGGGAGGCACAGGTCCCAAAGGCTTTGCGGCGTCCCCCAGTAGAGTGGATCCACAGAATGGCTGCCACAATGTAGGCATAGGACAGTGAGACCAGGCAGCAGGGCACCAGCAGCACCACCACGCTGGAGGCCAATATGACCACCTGGTTGAGGGTGATGTCAACGCAGGCCAAGCGGACGAATGCCAGTGTCTCACAGGCCACATGGTTCAGCACGTGGTGTCCACAGGTAGGCAGGCGCATGGTGACCACTGTCTCCACCACAGAATTCACCACGCCTACAAACCAAGAGACAGCTGCCAGCCCAATGCAGCACCTTGGGCTCATCACTGCCACATAGCGCAAGGGGTCACAGATAGCCATATAGCGGTCATAGGCCATAGCAGCCAGCAGCAAGAACTCAGTACCCCCCAGGGCCAGCGAGAAGAAGAGTTGGGTCCCACACCGGGTGAAGGAGATGGTCTTCTTTTCCAGCAGGAAGTGTACCAGCATCTGGGGGACCCCGCTAGAGGTGTAGCAAATGTCCACCACTGAGAGGTTGCAGAGGAAGAAGTACATGGGCAGGTGCAGTCGTGCATCCAGTCCGATCAGGAGGATGATGAGCCCATTGCCCAGCAGTGTCAACAGATAGATGGCCCCAAATAGGACAAACAGTCCAGCCTGGGTCTGCCTGTCACTGGAGAGCCCCAGGAGGACAAACTCACTTTCCCAGGTCAGGTTGTCCCTCCTCATGGAGCAGGTGGGTCAGGCTGCCAGGAGAGGAGCAAAGGCAGAGAGGGGTAAGTAAAGGTCTCGCTTTAGGAGGAAGGGACAGCTGGACTCTCAACTAGATTGAGATTCTTAAGGACAAAGTCCCTGTTCTGGTCATCCTTTTGTGGCTAGGACCCAGCATGGTTATAATTACAGAGGAGGTAATCATTCACAGTACAAGGAAAGAAAAAAAAGTGGTAGAGAAAGGAAAGAAGGAAAGACAAGAAAGAAAGTTAAAAAACAAAGAAAAACTAAGGAAGAAAGTTTGGACATCAGAAAAGGAGGGAAGTGGAAGATAGGGAAGAAAGGCAGATCTGGTTTGAAGCCCGCATCTGTTTAGTCTCTGTGCATGCTAGGGCCTATGCTAGATATCAGACACCTGCCTGGGAACAAGAAAGATGGAAGTGTGAGTCCTGCTTTCTTGGTTCTTGTAATTTAATCAACACCAAGATTAAATTAATAATTACAAAAATTAATTAAGTATAATTGTGCTAAGTATTTTGAAAGAGAAGAACAAGGTTACTAGTTTAATTAAATTTGTGGCTATAATTAAATTACCACTGGTTATGTCTTACTTCTCAATAATGTGCAATTTACAGAATAAGCTGCAGATATTTATTTAGATGCTTAAATAAATGATTAACAAAATAATGCAATGAGGGCTTTTGGAAACCAATGATCATATTACTACTGAATATGAACTAACTGAAATCCACTGAATCTTTCAGAGGGAATGAATTCTACTTTCTTAGCTAGGATTGTGTTGGATTATCTCCCTTCCAACATGTTCACCAGCCCACAATAAAAATAGAATTAAATGCCACCAGTTTTTCTTAATAGAATATAATCTCAAGGTGTATTTTCTGCTCTTAAAACAGTTAATAAATTAATTCATTTAGTAAAAATATTTGAGTCTATGAGGCACTATGCTTTCATCCAACTTCTAGCATATAATGCCTCTCAATGTTAGGAACTTATGTTTAGAAAATCAACAGTGCAAAAGAATCAAATAAGAAACTTTAAAATAAAATCTGTGACTGTCAAATGAGTCAGCCAAAGAAAGGACAAAAGGAATACATCAACATTAAGGAAACCAGAGTAGATCCACAGAATCAAGTACAATAGAACTGAAAAGGGTAATCTGATTGAGATTTCTTCTGGCTGGTAACAGTGGCCTGTGGAGAGCAGAGAACCTGGGAGGAGCAGGCATCTCTCACTTTCCCTTCAGCTCTGGTCCTGCAGTGGCCAGAGGGCATCACTGCGGAAACAAAAAAATAGAAATTAACACTAGATTCTCAGGTTTGGAGGCCCCATTCACCAGAAGATGGTGGTTGGTGGCTGGGTTTTGAATACTACCCCAGGGAGACTTTGGCTGCCCCAAAAGCCAAGTCCTTGTATCAGCCAGAGGAAATAGCTCCACTCTGATCTTCTATGATCAGATGCTCTGCCAAGCATCCAGAATTCAACCCTTCAGAGTTACTGTCATGGATTCAGATTCTCTTCATAAGAGCCTGGTTACTATATAAGAAAATCAAGTATGTGAGAAGCGAAAGGAGCCATACAGATCACATACTCCATTCATTTCATTGTATAGATGAGGAAACCAAAGAACAGGAGTAAGGTGGTTGGCCCATGTGTCATATCTTCCTGGGAACCAAGCTGGTGCCAAGTTTTAAGTGTGCATGGCACATTCTCAGCTCCCACTAAGCCCCATAGTGAGGGGTGGGAAGGAGTTGTGGAAGGATATGGACTAGGAAGGGAGACACCTGAGGAATCTTAGATTAGAGGCCCAGCACAGCTATCTTGCCATGTAGAGAAATACTGTGTAGTGAGTGGGAAAAGCTCTGGATGAGAAGTCAAGGCATCCAAGTTCTAATTTGCCTCTTCCATTAACCTGCTAAGTGTCCTGGGCTAGTTACTTGACCTCCCTGAGCTTCAGTTTCTTCATTTGAGATGTGGGAATAATAATAATGCCTACCTCACAATATTTTGAGTAAGATTAGATGAAGAAATGATCACGAATGTGTTTTGTAAAGTACTAAGTAAACATAACTGGCTATTGTTATACTCAGCAAGTCAATTTCACTGGAGTAAATTCTTCCCAGTGATACAGAGACAAGAAACAGTATGAATATGTGTTGTAGAGGCCAGAAAGTTAACAGTATATAAATAACTATAAATCCCCTTTGCAATACATTCTAGTGCCTAAATAACTTACTTATAGAGACCCTGTTCCAATAAGCAAAGAACTAAGGTAGTGAGTTTGTTTATACCCAGTGGGTAGTACTGTGCTCTACAAGCAGTATGAACTCAATGTATTTTTTCCCAATAAAATTTGAAATATGCTGTTTTTAGATGGCTATAAACTATTATTTACTAATAGATGGTCTTGTTCTCAGCTTTCTGGGATTAGAGAATTTCATTCCACTTAGATTTACTTAGAGAACATTTACTGAGCCCCAAATAATGCCTGGTCCAGTGGCAGGTGCTGGGTAACAAGATCACTGCAGCCTTGTCTCCCTCTCCAAGAATTCAGCCTGGCCAAAGGATAGAGAGGGTGAGTTATCATGACTTACCAGAGTTTTCAAAGGAAGCTACCAAGTCTGGTAATTGGAGACATAAAGTCAGACTATGTAAGTAACCAGGCAGATATGTAGAAATAATAAAGTTGAAGCAAAGAAACAACCAGTACATTTGCTTTTTGAAAAAGTAGTTGCAGTTTAAGGCTCATGTAGACTGGTAGTAAGGAGGCTTGGGTTTCTACCTGTATCAACAAACCCTCTAGATATCATTGTAGATCCCTACCTTTATGAAGCATATTTTCTTCATCTGCAGAATGAGCAAGTAAGGTGGACACCAAGATTTCTCCAGCTCTAAAGGTCTGCAGAAAGTGAATATATGTAAGCTATACTTTAAAGCATTGTAAGAGGGGAAAAGAAATCCTTCAGTCTTTGATTACTCTAAGAATGCATAGCTAGTGAGGCTGTGGGCACTAAGATATTATAGGTTACTGGGTTTGGGGATCAAAGCATTCATATCACAAGTAACTGTTGGGGAAAGTGCCACTGAATGGGATCAGGTTGACTTGAAAACCAGAACAGGAAATAGGGAAGGAGCCTTGTAGACAGAAATGGAATATCCGCTTGGGTCAAAGCTTCTTTCCAAAGCTGGACCCAGGGAATTCCCAGAGTAGGATGACCCCTAACATACCTACCTTCCTTCCCCAAAGCATTATGCTTCTTAATGGATAAGAATATTCACCTTCCTCTTTTTCAAAAAAAGATAAGCTTATGTCTAAGTTTGGTTCTTATAGTAATGAAGCTCAGCCCTTTTGCATTCCTTCTTATCTCCAACATATGCAAATGTCTTGAGGTTAAGAAAAGAGACATATCCCTTTGGACCTCCACTCTTGAGTGTTTTGAATGTGTCTCTGTATATACTGAGCACTTCAGTTTATACTGTTGATTGGGTGACTGACCAAGACCCGGGACTCCGTTGAGGGGCTGGAAAACAATGAGCTGCATTTTCTGGGTCATGGGAAAAATCAAAGAGCCTCCAACTATAATAGTGAGAAAAACATAAGGGAGGATCCCAGGGCAGTCCTAACTGCTCCCAGGAATTTGGGCTCCTTTCTCACCACCTCCTCTCAACCTTCCTGTAGGGGACTCACCGAGGTTCAGTGCTCATCTCATGTACATAATTCCTTTTGAATGAGGAAGTGGCACATTTCTTAGAAAGCCTTGAAGCAGTAGTCCATTCTCTTCTGGGGATGGACTTTTTACTTTCTCAGTCTAAGCTGGTAACTTTTTAGAACATGAGAATCCCCAGAGGCCAATTACTTGTTCTTGGTGTGTACCTTTATTCGCCCCTGCCCCCAGCTACTTCCCTGCAACCACAGCTCCCCACTCTTCTTAGTTCCCTATGGGATAAACATTCTGAACACATTTTATCTCCATTTTTAATTGTCCTTCTAATTCTCAGACTAATGAGCCCTTCCTTCTCTGACTTTTGGATCATTCACTGCCCTTCAAGGCTATGGCATTGTTGAGGACTTTTGATGAGTCAGGAGACAAAAACAGTTACTCTGAGTTGATGGTAAGGCACTGAAATTAATTGGGAAAGAGAAGAGGAGCTAAAATTTCAGAGCTCGGTCTTTCTAAGGGAAGAAGATGAGTGCACCTTCTCCCCTCTTTCCACATACCTAGTTTTAGTGACCAGGGAGTGGTGAGTAAGATTGCACAGTAAAACCACCATGTCTGTGGCCTTGAAGCCACTGAGAAGTTCCAAGTTCACAGTCATGAAAATATTTCTGTAGACTCCTCAGTGGTCTCCAGTATCACGTTTCTGTCAAGTTGTGTTTCCTTTGCATATTTTCATACCACCAGAAGTTTTCCTACGTCTCACTAAGCTTGATTTCCTGGTTTTTTATCATCTTCCACAAAGTTTTAATTTCTTTACTGAAATTACTTAGAAGGAGCAGAGAAAACAATGGGTCAGGATGGGGTTTTATTCCCAGTACTTACCTATTGGTTCTGTGCAATAGAACATAAGTCTTTGAGAAGATAGGAACAAAAAACACATTTAAAAAAAATTTTTTTAAACAGAGAAGTTATTAGCAAGTAACTCATTAGAATTTTTCTACAATAATCAATATCCACAAGATAAAGACTTAATTATTTTGAAGATTTGTTACTCTAATGACAATAGGCTGGGAGACGGTACTTTTATTTCTTCTTCCCTCAGGTTCACCTCTGCTCCTCCTATCACACAGCAAAGCTCAGAACACTAAGGACCTGAAGCTGCCCTAACCTTAAGGTCCATTGAGAGCAAAAGCTGATGTGACCTTCTGTCTGAGAGCTGTGGCCAAAAGTTGAGGAGGATGACAGAGGTAGAAGTCTGAGGATACCATGAGGGAGAAGAGAGAGTGACCCCTGCCAGGTGGGCCTTGTGATGCACATCAAAGGTAGACTCAATATGGTCTGATGTA